GCCTCATTAGAATAAGAACGGAATTGAGTTTTTAAACTCTGATATCCCTATATCTTTTCAACCTAATAAACCTTAGATATTTCAAACATGGATTATTTAACAAAATGAATAGTTTGAAATATCAAAGGTCTCCGACCTAAGCTGGCCGATATATAGGGATATCAGAGTTTGTGGCAAAAAAACTCAGATCCTTTCTCCTGATCCTCAAAATAGGAATACCCTTGACCTCCCTTGATGACACCCTGTATAATCAAGCACCGGCGGTCTGCTGTGGGTCGTACGAAAAAATGTTCCGAAAATTAATAAAAAATATCTTTTTGCGAGTGTATGAAATATACAGTATACAGTATACTACTATAAATATTAATACTTTTTGCCTTTTTCAGACCTTTTAAGTGTTACATCAGAACACTGTGTGAACCCCTTCTAGTCAATGGGTTGAGTTTTTGTAGCAATAAAAAATCTATCTTTTTTTGCGAGAGTAGCCTCATTAGAATAATATAAGGAATTGAGTTTTTAAACTTAAATTTCCCAATCCCTATATCTTTTAATAAACCTTTCAAACTTGGATTAATAGTTTTGATAGGTTTCCGACCTAAGCTGGTCGAAATATAAGAGTTTGTGGCAAAACTCAGATCCTCAAAATAGGAATATACAGCGGTATATATATAAAATATACAGTATACTACTATAAATATTAATACTTTTTGCCTTTTTCTAACCTTTTAAGTTTTACATCAGAACCCTGTGTGAACCCCTTTTAGTCAATGGGTTGAGTTTTTGTAACAATAAAAAATCTAGTTTTTAATCTCTAGAATGTTAATAATAAAAACTATCTTTTTGCGAGTGTATGAAATATACAGTATACTACTATATTAATACTTTTAACCTTTTTCAAACCTTTTAAGAACCCTGTGTGAACCCCTTCTATGGGTTGAGTTTTTGTAGCAATAAAAAATCCGGTTTTTTAATCTCTGTAAAAACGATTATCAAACAGGGTGAGTTAAATGAAATAGACTCATATCACTTTTTACAATGTTCGTCATAATAAAATAATATACTTGTAAAAAGTTTACCTTTTGTGATTTTTAGTGAATGTATGTTTCCTTCTTAGTTACCTGAAGCACTTGTGATTGAGGACTGTTGACTATACATGAGAAATGCTCTTCTTTTATAGGGAAATTTTGCTCTATTTTTAACGACCACGCCCAAATAGATTGCCAAAAAATGCTCTTAGGCAACAATTTTGGCCCAAACCAATGGTCACAATTCGGCAACAATGTTGGCCTAAACCAATGGTCACAATGTACTGCTTGCTTACACAGCGTGAGTCTGTAAAAATGACGCTTTTTATAAATGATTTTTAAAGATAATTTTTATAGAAAAAAATGTTTTTTTTTTTATCCATAAAGGAAGTCAGTTTTGGTCCTAAACTCAAAAAAATCTAAACCCTTAAATGGAATGCTGAAAACCTTTGATATTTCAAAAAAATGTTTATTTCATCAAAAACATTAAAACTTATTTCCTTTAGAATAAACATTTTTATGAAAATTTTTGTGATGACAACAATAATATTGGAAAAAATATTTTTTTCTACTTTTTTTATGACTCCCTGTATTTTCCTTGTAAAGTTCAAACCTTTTTTTAGTTTTGGCAATAGGCATCTTAAGCCACGGGCAACTGCAAATTTTAAAAAACGCGTTATTTTACACGCACTCTATGAGTATATAAACCTATGTATAATTGAATATCTTTACTCTTTACAATGTCTACTACTGACATGAAAGAAACAAATTTCGTGGACAATCTTCAGGAGATTGATGTGGATTGGTTTAGCAGAACTCAACAATGGATTAAGAAGCAGGATTTTGATGTCTACGGTAAGAAAAAATATTTTATACCCCACCTTCTTTTTGTAAACCTGTTAAGGAATTTTTTTTATTCACCCTGTGTATTTTTTAGAATTTGACGTCAACAAGATTCTTTTCCAATTCAAATCGAATAAGATTAGCCAAGATTGGCAAATGGAACACGATTTTATCACGTCTTTTGATCAAGAGGATGGTGAGGATCTAGATGAAGCTGAAGATCAAGATGTCTCGGAGTCTTTTGATCAAGAGGATGGTGAGGATCAAGATGAAGATGCAGATCAAGATGAAGCTGAAGATTACAATGATGAAGAAATTGTTATTCTTCATGAGAAACCTGGCAGCGATCTGATGCAGGAACCATCAGAATCGGATATCGAATTTTTGTACGAAATTAGATCGATCACGGTCATCACATTGTGAACCAATGATATTTTTGTGTATATTTACCATTTAATAAATATATAAATTTAGTTTGTCTGATTGTATAAACGTCATCACGGTTGAACCGATTCGGCCCAAATATTTTTNTTAATACATATTAAAGATAACGCATAATAAGATACTAGTTATAATTTAGATTAATACTGTTAGCAATTCCTCGATTTATCAAAACAGAATTTTGTAAACATTTACGTTATAAAATAACACCAAGGAATTGAGTCTTTGCCACAAACTCTGATTTTCTAGTCCTTGTATTGTTCAAACCAAATGTCGTAGACCTTAGATATTTCAAACTATGAATTATGTTAGCTTAACTTATCTAAGTTTGAAATATCAAATGTGTACAACATCAGGTCGCTAAGATATTGGAATTCGAAAAATTAAGTTTGTGGCAAAAACTCAATTCCTTTGTATTGCAAGAGGTACTAACGTATCTTAATTGTACAAATATGTATCCTCTTGGCTTTACGAGACTTATAAAATGTCGTCTTCTAACTATATTCGAGCCTGGTGTTTGTCCAGTCTGGATTATGTGTAAGGTTCTATTATTTCTATTATTATAGATTCTCATAAGAATGATTTTGGTGTAAAAAGCATTTATTAATATATATTAAAGATAACGCATAATAAGATACTAGTTATAATTTAGATTAATACTGTTAGCAGTTTCTCGATTTATAAAACATTATATTCAATTAAATTTAAGAAGTGTTTACAGAAAAATAATGTGTTGCTAAAAGTCTAATATTTTGATATTGAACCTTTAAATCTTTAATTTTGTAAAAGTGTTGTAAAAACAAATATTTATTTTTGTTGTCATTTTTTAAAATCTGCGTCAATAACTTAAAAACTTAGTTTAATGATATTTCGATCATCTCGATCATTTCTGATTCCCGACTTAAAACTGGCAGGTACGAGGTTGGAGGTGGGGGTGGGGGGGGCATTTTTCTAATAGTATTAAAAAATCCAAAGCAGACAATGCTTAAACAAAAAACTATTCCCAGGATAATTTTTAGAGATAGCACCACAAGATCCGAAATACTTGAAGAACTGATCTAAAAAATAAAAATATTCATACATCTATTAATTTGGTTTGACTCTCAAAAGTGATTGTGTGTTTGTATCCAATAAAAAAACGTCAAAAACGACTGAACCGAACAGCTCCAAAATTTTTGTGAGACCTTGTGTAACCCTAGGAAAGATTTATAAATGATAAAAAAAAAATTTTTTTAAAAATGTGTGTTTTTTAAAGCTGTTTAATTTGTAAAAAATCATTCTTGAAAATCTAAATTTAAATAAAAAATGAGCGCAAATCTAATAAAAAGCCAAGTTTTTTATAAATATATATATCAAAAATATTACCGGCATTGGAGAATAAGAAGGAAAGGTAGGCGTAAAAGCTGAAGAGATTGATGTAGAAGCAGGAAGAGAAGGAGAATAAGAAGATGTCTAAACAATAAATAGAAATTTAAAATATATATATACATATATATGTAGTAGAGCTAGTAGTAGGAGTGTAAGCAGCTTGAATAAAAGGAACTGGAGTAGGAGTGTAAGCAGCTTGAATAAAATGAACTGGAGTAGGAGTGTAAGCAGCATGAATAAAAGGAACTAGAGTAGGAGTGTAAGCATCTTGAATAAAAGGAACTGGAGTAGGAGTGTATGCAGCTTGAATAAAAGTCGTAGAAGAAGTTCTGGAAGGAAGAGTAGAAGAAGAAGAAGAAGATGCCTAAAATACATAGAAATTATAAAAAAAATATATGTCGTAGACCCAGTAGGTAGTAAAATCTAATAAAAATAAAACAACTCAAGGGTCATAGGATTAATATAAATATCTTTAAATATCTATGAATTACCAGGGTTGAAGTAGTTGAGAAAGTCGTGGAAGAAGAAGAAGGAAAAGTAGAAGAAGAAGATGCCTAAAATAAATAGAAATTATAAAAAAAAAATGTAGCAGACTCCGTAGGTAGTAAATCTAATGAAAATGTAAACTTTATAAAAACTATAATATGATAAAACAATCAAAATAAGAAATTCAATATAATGATGAAATAAATGCTTCTATCATTGATTTCTCAAATGATCTCAAATTTCAAATTAGATTAAGGTATAATTTTTACTTTATTTCTCGTTGATGATATTTAGTAATTTTTATAAGAAATCTATTTTTTTTTTAAATGTATACATTCCAAGTAGGAATTTTAAACGTTGAATTTGCATTCAAACTCTAGATTATATAGAGCTTAAAAAGATTTATATGTCTCAAATAAATCTGAAAGAAGCTTTCAACAGCATTGTATACTCAGTTCATCGTCCTTACATAGTATGTCCCTCCCTTTTATGAAAGTATTTAAAAGTAATATTTGTAACATATAAATAACTTTAACCATCTATGAATTACCTGAGTTGAAGTCATTATTGTAGGTTCCTGTGAGGAAGAAGTATGTCTTGTAACAGAGCAGGCTGTCCCGGTGGAGAGAGAAATCTAATATTAAACCCTTTAATCAACTAGAATATGAAAAAAAAAACTTTAAAGAATTGCGATATTATTGAATCACGAGGCTTTTTTCAAAAGGATTTGAGTTTTTGCCACAAACTCTGATTTTCTAATCCCTATATGTTTTTTCATTCAATGTTGACATATGAGCTATGTTAGATCAAATAATCCAAGTTTGAAATGTCCAAGGGCTACTCCTTTCGGTCGCCGAGATAAAGGGATTAGAAAAATCAAGTTTGTGGAAAAAATGTTCCTTGTATAAAGATCTTTTTTTTTAAGAAAAAATATTTCAAACTATTAATCCTGCTATATCAAATAGTCTATGTTTGAAATATAAAAGGTCTACACCATGAAGTTGCAAAAATATTGGGATTAGAAAATAAGAAGTGTATTCTCTTCTTTTTCTCCCACTCTAGCGCAAGATTAAAAAACTAGGAATTTGAGTCTTTGCCACAAACTCTAATTTTCTAATCCCTATATTTTTTTCATCTCACTTCAACCTATGAGCTATGTTAGATCAAATAATCCAGGTTTACTCCAATTCTATTTTTATATTTGTTATCTATTTTTCAGATTTGATTAATAATATTTTTATACGCTGTATTGCTTGATTAGAAATTCCACGAATGTCAGGGTAGTAAAGTGTTCATGTGATACAGGCGGAGACATGTGACCCGTATACTGCTCTACCATTGGTGCTAGTTCGGGTCATTAGATTTAAGTTTAAGATTTTCTAAATTTATATTTATGAACTTTTGTATAATTTTATCACAGATTTAAATCAATTTCTCTAGACAGGAACCGTAGATAAAACATTCATGGGTCGTTATCAAGAGCTAAAGTGATTATCTTTCAGCCTATACCCCTTTCATTTTTCCTTTACAGTCCCTTCAAGATTGTAATTTACATGTTTTTATTATAGCTCCATTACTTTTTCTTCACGTGTGTATAAAAATAAGAATTAGAGGAGCGACAGAGTCCCAATTGAAACAGTAATGTTAAATGAATTTGACCTTTTCCTCCCTGTTAGTTTACAGTAAATATAGTTTGTAGGGTAATTACCGCAGTCTGCTGCGTAGTAGATGGTACAGACGCAACTGGTGTCTAAAAAATTTAAATACAAAACTTTTCTTTAACAAATTGATGCTAAATTTAAGGCTTAAAATTTAAAAAAGAAAAAAACATCAAGTTTTTTATATTGCTTTAATGTCCATATTCTATATTATATTCTTTTCTGATAAGCATGTAGAACATTTTTGTAAGAATCTTTAATTGTTGTAATCTCAAAAAATAATTAACAATCAAATATAAATGTCTAGATTCAATTGAAATATCCCGTTAAATTCTACACCTACAGTGAAATCCAGAAAACTCTGGAATAGAACAAAGACGACTTTTAAAAATAAATTATGATAATCCAATAAGCATGAAAAAATAGAAATGATCCATTTAAACTTGATTTGTGTCTAGTAAAAATATTTTTTTTGCCTTCTAACAACATCAAACTTTTGTATTGTTTTTAAAGTAATCTTCTTATTTCCGAGATTTCTAGTTTTGAGTGTAATATATAATTACCGCGAAAAATTTAGTTGAATAAAAATCACAAACTCTATCTAACTGATAGCGTCTAAAAATGAACATTAATTTAGAGTATTTTTTCTGTAGAAAAAACTTTATGATTTTACCTAATCTTATTTACTTTTGGTTTGTATATTTCCATGTGTGATAGGGAAACTCTAAGTATTCTATCATCATGCTTTAGATGAATACAAGCATAAGTTGTAGTTAACAAAATGGAAATAAAAACAATGTTCATTCTTAACCGATATAATTATTACTGCAAAAATATTTAAAAACCTTGCAATGCATTGGGATGATTTTCACCCTCCCCTGTAGATCCAATATCTAAAAACAATACTATTTTTATTTGAAAGTCTGTTTTAAGCACGTACACTTTTTTAGAACTGGGCATTTATTAAATATTCTCTATTACACATAAATATTTTGAAACTTAAACTGTCTGAAGTATCATCAAAATATTATTTTTTAAACAAAAATCCTTAAAAAAAGTTTTGATACTATATTTGGTTATCTATGTTTTTATCCTGTATGAGCTCATTTAATTAAGGATTTAAAGAATTTAAGATTTGGAATTGATGACCAGTCCTAATCAACCGAATTAGTTCTGCAGCGATATTTTTTAAAAAACTATAATTACCTCAAAAAAATCCTTTCTAAAAACTCTTAAAATCCTGCCATTTTCTTTAGGAAATTTACATCTAGAAAACGCGTACGAGAAAAACATTAGGAATATGAAATAACGATACATTCTTAAGACTGAATTGATAAACACAATGTTGTACGCTCTATAAAATTTCAGTTGTATGGCAGTACACATACGCACGATAGTTTAAGAGTTTTTATTTCGGAATTAAAGAGATTATATTATAATCATTTTGAAACACACTGTATAAATTGAATAACCTATCTGTAATTTAATATCGTATTTTTAAAAACGTTGCTTTTTCGGTCTATTGTTATCAATACGGAAGAAACATAGAGAATAAACAAGTATAGAGTAGAATTATGACTAAAAAGAAGAAAAAAGCACCGAGTAAATATCATGTTTTCTATTGAACTTTAGGAACATTGAATGCTCTCAGGATATGGTTAATATATTGACACACAATAAGGCAATAAGGGGGCCTGAAATGATACCACTCGATAACAATATGGCAACAAGGTTGATAACTTAAAGAAGTCATTGTAAAATCTGTGTAAATTAGATTGCTGTGAGTTAACTGAAACCCGTTTAGATCTATCTATCTATCATACGTATATATCTATCTATCTAACATACATATCTATCTATCATACATATATCTATCGTTCTATCTTCATAGATCTAGACTTCCTTATGCCTTCTTTTTACTCTTAATCAGAACGCTCCATTCAGGTCACGTGATCACAAAATATCATCTAATACATTTCTTAAATGTCGTCTTCATCAATCAATCAATCAAAAACGATTCTGAATGTCGTCTTCATTGGGTCCAACAATTCCAACCAATCAGAACGCTCCATTCAGGTCACGTGATCACAAAATATCATCTAATAGGAGCATTCTGATTGGTCGCTGCTCGTGTCATCAAACTCTGCAGAATTCACTACTATTGTCTACCACCGTTGTATAATACAACACAGTTAAATAAAGTGAACAGGGGTAGAAAGAAAAGAAGAATGTTGGAAAAAAATGACTATCTGCATTAAAAATTACAATTAGTAAAAAATATGAAAATAAAAATACCCAATTTGTTAAAAAATATATGTAGTATAATTCTTTTTGAATAATGGGAAGGTTAAAAACTCAAACATATATATCTATCTATATATAAATTTGGCTTGTCTGTCTGTTTGTCTGTCTGTCTCTTTGTATCCAATAAACGTCAAAACGGCTGAACCGATCGGGCCCAAATTTTTTGTGGGACATCTAGGGACCCCAGGGAAGGTTTATGAATGATTGAAATTTTAAATATTTGTCTCCATCAAAATTCGATCTTGATTAAATTTTTTAAAATTTTGAAAATCCACGAAATTTTTTGTGAAAATCCGCGAATTATTTTTGTTTTGTTTTACGATGTACACAAAGAGAACATATGTTCACAATTAATTTAGAAGACATATATATATAAACAGTCCAGGATTGGTTGATTTATTTGCTTTTTTACTAGCGACCTAGTTGTCAAAGTTGATCGGACCTATTTCAAACCCTTGGAAGGTTCAGATTTTATTTTGCTTATATTTTTTTTCGTGGCCATATTTTGCCAAAAAATGGATAAAAAAGATACTTGTAAGACTGAAAAAAAATTCGTTTGATCTTTTGATCCCCGTCCTAAGACACTAAATTCGGAAAAGTTGATATAAAATGAATTTGTAAATTAAAAACAAAACAAAATTTTTTTGTTTTGTTTTGAAAATTCGAGTCCCATAAAACTCGTTTTTTGTCCATAAATAAAACCATTCAATATTCAAAAAAAATATTTTTTTTATAGTATTCTGTGTCTTGAGACGCATCTTTTGATATCCATATAGATATATTTATATTTTTTTCGTTTTTATCTGGGATTTGTTTAATCTATTAATTCTTTAAAATGGATCTTATCCCGCCATTTGTTTTTGTGATGTTTTTAGAATTTAGAACTTAGAATTGGTTTATAAATCGACCAAGGACCAAAAATTTGCGGAAACGGATCGAAAAAAACAGGGAACTGACCAACAAACTGAAAATTTTTAACTTTTTAAAATCCGGAACCCTTAAAAAATAAGTTTTGAGGGGATTTCCGATTAGTTTTGTAAAAACACTAAACTCCTCAAAAGATTCCATTTTGGGGAGGTTTCCGTTTTTTTTGGTTCGTTTCCGTGTGGAGGCGTTTCCATAGCACCTCTCCTTTATGTGTTTATGTTCTATCTATATATATAGGTAAGACTTCTTGCTTTCGGTCTCATATATCTTTATTTTAAATTTTTTCATGTAAAATTTAAACTTTAGTGTTAGTTTAAACATTCTTAAAAAGTATTATTATATTTAAAGAAATTTTCACGATAGAATGTACAAAGTTATCACAATAGAATGTGATTTCAGAGGTGAATTGACGGAACTTTTACGGTCTGTTTCATTATATTCTGGATTCCATGCAACTGTAAACCTGTTTCTTTATTTGCTAAATCAGTAATTAAAAGACTATATTGTGGGCAGAAGACTTAATTTAACCTTGGGATTGTTTCATTTTAAGAGTTTTATAACATTTTTACATCGTCTCATCCTTTGTGGGTAACCCTGTAAGAAGAGAATAAACAAACCAATTGTTTTTTTGTGAACAAAAGTAGATCCAAAATTAAACCCATTAAAAGTTGGAAAAATAAATAATTTATTGTTTACTTTTAGTAAGGCGGAAACAGTTACGTGAGGAGAAGACTTTTCAAATTTCAATGGGAAGGAATCCCCAAGAAGACTAATATGAAGAATCTGGGAAGAAAAGAGGGAGACGAGTAATCTGGGTTTAATTCTTTATAATTCAACAACGGGTGGAGAGAATCCGGGTTATAGATCTGAGTCTCTGTTCCTTTGGTTTAGATTTTTCAAGATATTTATAGTTACTATAAACAAACCAGGAACAACTTATCATATTGTCGTTTTATTGAAAGATATGAACACAATAATATTTGTAAATTTTATGTTTAAATAGTTAATAAATGTTATATCATAAACCGAGATACAAAATCTAAAGTAGAAAAGAATGTCTGAAGTCAAGTTGTCAGTTGGCGGCTACAGGTCATCTTGAAGTATCCTTTTATAAAACTCGTTTAACTAGAGATGCTACGTAGACCCAGACTGACATAGCAGAACCTGGATACGGTTCTACATACACCGCCAAACCAAACTCTACTCCTGGATCACGGTTAGACCACACGCCTTAAATATCACAGATAAAAATATTTCTGTAAAGGAAACTTAAATTCCGATTTTCTAATCCGTATATCTTTACAACCCGATGTCGCAGACCTTATATATTTCAGACTATGGATATGTGTTAGATCCAATAATCTAAGTTTAAAATATCTAAACTCTAAACCATCAGGAGGTTGCAAAGATTTAGAGTTTAGAAATTTTGATTTTGTGGCAAAGTTTCAATTTCTTCGCATTAAAGTTCAATTCTTTTTAAACCTGCTCAATGATCACCTTATATCACTAAGGTTTTAATGCTTAGTAGTGCGCTTAAAGGTTATCATGTATAGTGTGATATACATATGACAATGGTTTGTATAGTTTTATTTTCTCTGAGCTATTAATCTATTAAGCTATTTTTCTGAGTTTGATTTGAGACTTAATGATTCAAGACTAGGTTATGCGTGGTAGGTCCATTTTTCGAAAAATTAACAATTTTTTGGGGTGAACATAATTTTTTTTTTTGGGGGGGGAGGGTAAATCTTGCAAGTCATCATTTATTTTTTTTCTAAGAAAATCCTCCCCCCCGCCCCCCCACCGTCTGCGAAGAATTATTCCTAACCCATTCTTTGCAACCCATTGTCCTGGACCTGAGGTATTTCAAACTATGAATTCTGTTAGATCAAGTAATAAAAGTTTGAAATATCAAAGCTTCATACCATCAGGTAGCAAAGTTATAGTGATTAGAAAATTTGAGTTTGTGGCAAAGACTCGACTCCTTTAATGAAAAGTTGAGAATATTGAACCTGTTGCTTTGACTGAATCCACAATACTCTCCATGTCTAGGTAGGCGCAGTGTAGAGGGAAACCACATATCTAAGTAAAGAAGATAATTATTTTTAATAATATTAACAATTTTGTTCTCCAGCTATATTAATAAGTAACTTTTTTATGAGAAAATTATGCAATGACTTTTAAGACAATGAATAGCAAAGTTTATTTTAGGCATAGATCATATATTTTTTGAGCTTTCCTAAATGTTGTTTATCATTCTTGAAATTAATGAGATATTTGATGATTACTCAACTATTCTCTGAAATAAGTGTTTGAGAGGAAAATGTTATTATTTTAGACTAGATTTTGTTTATTTTAGGATTTGTTCATAATTGCTACAGATTTGAATAATTTATGAATAAAAGACGATAGCACACATAACTTGATGTTAATTGTTTTTATCTCTGTACCTTGTAGGAAGATGTTAATGTTTGTAACTCTGTTCCATGTTCCCCTCTACCTCTGGAACCATTTATACGTTCCTGTTCCAGTCGGGGCAACAGCTTTCCCAGCAGGGCTTTACCCTACGAATAGGATTATTTTTTACTAAAATGGAACAGTGGAATAGAAAGACGATATGTGAGTTGTATCAGTGGCTTGAGAATCAACCTCTTAAGCTAAATGGGGTTTGAGCACACTGTTTAATGTTTAAATGTTAAAATCTTACATTCGTCTTTCTTTTCCACAGTTTTGTGGGTCTCACTGAACCATGATAAAACATATGGTAGTACTAAGTACAGGGTTGCCCACCAGGGATGATAGTTTAATGACGACCTGAAACTCTTCAAATATAACCACCTGAAGATTTAATTTACGAGTTCTGCCTAAACATATAGTTTTCTCATGGTTTACCAATTAAATGATTTGGTTCAGAAAGAACCGCCAGAGGGAAACTGAAATGTAAGAACACAGTCTAAATAGTTGTCGCTGAAGTCTCATACATTTATTTCAAGTTGAGATTTAAAAATTACAGCCAGAAAATCCAAGAATTAGTGAAACTAAGTGTTATTTCCTCGTGTAGAAACTAAAGTAACAATATGTACGTATAATAATCATTTAATTTGGATTGAATTTAAAACAAGATTAGGCCTAAAATTCTCGTCCTTAATTAAAAGTCCATTTGTGAAATAGTTTTTAATTGTTTTGAACTAATTATTTACCTGAAAATTCAGTGAAGTTCTAAGTTTGGCCTGTTTCCTCAAATTCATAATACTATCTCTCAGAGCCTAAAATACACAATATGTCCCTCTAAACATGACATTTTAAAGACTAAAAATTATGTTTTTAAAAAAATGCATATAAATACAGTTTAAAAACAGATCTAATACCCTTCTAAAAGTAAGCATTTTTTATTTATATAAGACTAGATTGGAAACAAAGTTTTGCCCGGAGTTTTCCCCAAAAAAGTCAACCCACTCAATTTAGAATATTTAAGCCAGGTATCCCCGTGGTTCTAGCGAGTTCCCGAGCTCCCAAATCAAAGTAAAAGGCCAATTGAAATGAGTGAGCGTTTGCCACAAACTCAAATTTTCTAATCTCTTCAGTATATAAGCGTAATAATGATGAAAACTGTTTACTATATCTGTTAAAAATTTCAGATAAAATCTGAATCAAGTAGCTAGGAACAGCCTTCTAGAAATAGGTGTCGATAAATGTTTGTACTACTGGAGCGCGGGCTCAAAATATTAGAAGTATGTTAGCAGCTCTCCTGCCGTGCCCGTAACTGATTGGTCTACACTGTTAAAACTTTACTGGATGGTGACAGGGATATTAATCTACATATTTGTCAAGGCAAACCAAGAACAGCTCTGCGGACCTGTAAGGGAAGGGTACAGCCAATAGCCAGCTGGATAAAGACCACCGGGTGTCCAGGGGGACAAACAGACACTTATTTATGTGCACTAGGCTGACAAATGATGCAATAGGACACTTCTTTTCAAAAAACTTTTGCGAAAAAAAATAACCCATGGCCCACTTTATTAAAATTTTGTTGACAAAAATGGATTAAATTGGTTATAAAATTTCAGTATTCAATTATTCAAATATTCTCGACAACATTGGGCTTTGAAGTCTATATATCTACTGGAAGGTATATGAAGAACCTAGGGAACCAAAATTCTGGCCTCAGTTATGGTCCTAGGTGTAGTGGGGGAGGGTGAAAAGAAGAGTCCCCTGCCTAAAATTGTATACAAGGAATACAATTTTGTCTTGGTTTAAGATATAACTCCCTCTCGCACCAGTATATTAACTGTTTCCTTGATGACGAACAGTGCAATATTTTGGTCTAGGGGGATATAGCCCCCTCAGTACCTAGACCAAAGTATAAAAAAATATGAAAAATGTGTGCAAATGCAGGAACAGGTCAATATAAAGGCCTGCAGCATGATTATTAAGGTTATTATGATTTTTACTGTTCCCAGGGACGGTTTGATGGAGGACTGGTTGTGGATTATGTGTGCCGATTTTAGAGGTCGGCTGGAGGACGTCATTGAGGTCGAAAAAAGTATTTTCGATAAAATATGCTTAATCTATTCACAAACATTACATATACGTAAAACGATTTAAATCAGATGTCTAGATTGGTTTCTATATATTGTTTAAAATTTTCCATTTTTATTACGCATACTGTATATCTTTACAAGATGATGTCGTAAACCTTTAATATTTCAAGCTTATATCTTACTAACAGAATTAATAACTTGAAATAACTAAGGTCTATGACATCTGATTGCACAAGTGATTGGGTTTAGAAAATTAAAGTTTGTGGCAAAGAATCGATTCCTTAGTACCAATTTTGCAATATCCATAGTGAATAGAATATATATTAGAGAGAAATTTAAAGAATCTCTCGGTATGAATTTTTTCAGTCCCTTTCAGCCTGAAAGGGAGTTCAAAGTGTACAAATCATGTAAATGTTCACAAATTATGTGCAGTAGAGTACATTAATACAGTATGTTCCCTAGACTATTCATTTCAATTTCGAATTTTTTAAACTGTTAAATAAACTTTATAATGAATTAGGTGAATAAAAACCATCATTTGATTTATAGTTATAACGGAAAATCATCGTTTGTAAAGTGAAAGGCATAGAGTCTTTGTGAAATGATCATTGGTCAATTATGAAACCAGCCTATTTCATAATTTGGTTTTCTTTTAACATTTATTTTAGATTTTCTATAAAATGATATTCCAGGGCCCAAAAGGTTATATAGCATAAATACGTGAAGTACACCTGCATGTATGGAAACAGTACAACAAAATGGCCGTTTTACAGTTTTTTGTAGTAAATTCCCCTCTGATATATATATATGGTAGACCACATTTCGAAAAATTCGAGACCAGGCGTTTTCGATACTAGATGTTTTAGCTGGACTACTACAATAATTTCGTTCATGAAAAAAATGCCGCGTGGATCGAAGACGATATAAAAGTCAGTTGGGACACCCTGTAGATTAAAAATGTCCTTTTTTAAATTTAAATGCTTATTTCTTCAAGCAATCACCTTTATTTATTATCAATTTTGAAAGAAAAATTTTTAACTTTTGCAAAATCTGTTTTAAAAAGCAGAAGTTTAATAATTAATTAGTTCAAGAGTTTTAACGACTAATTTCAAAACTAAACTTTTGAAGAAGAAAACACACTTAAGAGAAAAAATAGTAATTTTTATGTTAGTGAACTTTAAATTTTAACACGATAACGTTAAGTTTCAACTTTCAAAGAAATAACTTTTTATACGTTTCCTCTTCAAAATAATTATTTAAGGGACTGTTCTCATATCTGAATGAAGAGGTAGGTAGGTAGGTAGGTAGGTAGGTAGGTAGGTAGGTAGGTAGGTAGGTAGGTAGGAGGTAGGTAGGTAGGTAGGTAGGTAGGTAGGTAGGTACCACTAAATCTTATGATCTTATATTTTTTTATTGATCAACCAAGTGTAGTTTTTAAAAATTATGAATAAATATGGTGTCTTTTGGGACACTTGCCTTAATTTTGTAAAATATAGTAGCTTTGTATTTTGTCTCCATTTATTAAACCCCAATAAGAAAGAAAATATTTTGAATGAACTTCAAAACTCAAATAAGTCATTAATTACAAACCTAGTTAAAGCTTCCAAAGGAATTGAGTTTTTGGAACAAATTCTGATTTTATAAAAGATAATTACAAAATTGTACAAAATTATTTAAATATTATTGCAGTATTTAATTTTTTACTACTTTGGAATTCTTGGGGCCCCATAATTGTGATTAAATAAAAAAGCAAAAAGCAAGAGCAGGATCCGTTTTATTGGTTTCACCTTTTCAATTTTATCTTTAAGAAGTTTAGCTGCTCTAATATCAGGCGGAGATAGAGGAATATGATCAGGTTGAAGAGAAACTGGAGGGTTTAAGGGGGGCCTGGAGAACAGAGGCATCCAGTCTCCAACACGACTCAGATCAAACCTGGAGAATAAAGTTCAAAATATGAAGAAATGAAAATTGAATAAACTGGTAACCTGAGTCTCTGTGGTTGATCTGAGACCTGCATGTTTGCCCAAACATTCTCAGTGTTTGCTAGAACCCAGATACTCTGGAGAGGACAGAATGTTTCCAAGGATGAGAAATGTTCACTTGTGACCGGGTTCCACAACCAATACTGTCCATTCTCCTCTACCGTAAGAACATAAGCAGTTTTACCCTCCGGGATTCCTTTACCTAAAACAAGGAAACAGGTTTTCCCCAGGCTCAAGAAGTAGTTTGTGAGAAGAATTGCATGCTCTAGCTCCGACCCAACCATCATCTGTAGAAACTGTTCACTAGTAGGCCATATATCTCCTAGTCCAGGGAACAGAGCGTTTGAGGGAAGATATGGAATCAGGCTGACAAACCAAGCAACGGACTCATCGCTGGGGACTTCTGTAGACGACTCACGGACCTGAGCTGGTGGAGGGATGGGTCGGAGATATCTTGTGAGAAGGACTGATCTCCCAGTAACGTCTATAACTAGTGGGTTGATCTTTCTGTGTGGATAAGCTCCAGATAAAGCTCGATTCCATCTTTCACAGGTTGCAACAATATCATCATCCTCCTCACACTCAAGCTTCTCGCGGAGAGGTTCGGGAACGTTTAGGGCTGGATCCAAGGTGAGATATATATTAATATAAGTAGCGTCCTTTACAGTTGAATTCTCCGTTGGTGTTGATGGTCTCCAGCCTAGGTTTTGAACATTCTGTCCAACTCTTTCATATCCTAGGAGAACTGGAGGACTGTGCATTCTGAAGGTTCCTTCTATTCTGGTATTCTGGTAGATTGAGGTAAATGGTATAGCTAGACTACCCAACCATCTGTGCTCTAATCTCTGGTGGAGAAGGGTTGATCTCTGATCTTCATCCTCCACCAGATCACAGTATATCTCGTCAAATAGGTGAAGGTATAGATACTCCTTGACTCGACGCATACTGTCCGGAGAGAAATCATTGTTGAGAGGTTTAAACTTGAGAGTAAGCTGTTGGTTCCAGGCAGGGTTCGGTCCTGCAGCTCCGTAGGTTCTACCTGTAGAGTTTTGTAACGAGGCGGTGATAAAAGAATTCACCTTGGACTCTTTAGGTCCATTGGAGACCTGTTGGATTCCACCGGAAGAGATAAAATCTACATCATGCCTCACGGGAACATCATAGGCTCTCACTACAGATAGGAGAACCTTAATCTCCTGTCCTGATATATCTTGAAGAGTAACCTTCTTCCTTTCTTGTCTTACCGGTCGTAGAGGTCTCTGTTCAGGCATAGCTCCACCTAGCATCATGAAGAGAGTGTTGAGGTCAGGTATATTGTCCTCAGTAATAATATCACTTCTTCTCTTCCTGTGTTTGGCTAAAGAGAACTTGTGCTGAACCTGAGTTCTCAGTTGGTCGAGATAAAGGAAATTCTTCCCTCGAAGCTGATCAGAACTTCCACTCACATCCTTTTGACGGTACTCCAGCTTTTTAGCATAGGACTCCAGGATTCCCTTGGGAATTTCTTTCTCATAAGCTGGGATCTGACGGTAGTTTCGGAAATCCAGAGCTTTCGCACTTCGCAGTTGTATCATCTGGAATCTTACATTGTTATTGATCTGTTCCTCTGTGCAGAATGAGAACTGATCATCCATCTGATCCAACCTGAAGTATCCTTGATCAACTGGAAATCTGGTTTCTCCAACACTTTTGGAGATATTACTCTTCCTTGTAGCGGATACTGTGTTCATGAGCTCCGCGTTTCTGGGATCATTCGGATCTATTCTATGATTGAGTAACCAGTCCTCAAGTTTATCAGGATCCACATTTCCAAAACTATCAAACACCTCCCTGATAGGTTCTTGACCTTTCATATTTACTCCTGTAACCTTCCACTGATCTGCTGGAGGGGACAGAAGTCGTCCATCTCCTCTCTTCCCCCAACCAACCCTGGCGTAGAGTTTTCCTCTAGTCTTCTGCAGATCTGTCCTAGAGTTATCACTGACTATAGAGAACTCCTTCCCAGATCCTAATCCGGCGTGTCCATGAGAAATCTCCTGATCACTTTTAAACTCGTACGGAACCATCTCAGCCTGATAAAGATAAATCAGTATATTTATTGCTTGAAACAAAAGTTTTATTTAAGATTTTAAGGAACGTTCCATTAATTTAGTAAAGATTACCTTGTCTAGGCTTGTGTTTGAGTCGCAAAGTGGAATTTCAACCTCAGAGAGAATATTTGTTTTTAATGTGCTGCCCTCTATGATTTGTATTTTTAAACTCTCTGGCCACTGTTCTATCTGTATAGGAAATATTTGTCCGATTGGAACTACAAAATCTTGCCCGATCATCTTGGACGAGGTTTGACAAACTTCTCTTCCGTTGAAAAGAATCTTGAACATAATCTTCGTTTTGTTTACGGCGTTTCGTCGGTTTAGTTCACGGTTGTCGTAAATATCAGAATCTTTGGTTGTTTTCCCACCCATTGTTAGCTCCAGGGTGAGTCTAGGTTCTCCAGGGTTTCTCCGAACCTTCTTCGCATTTGTTTCTATCTCCAACCTAACTTTCTCCTCATCAAACTCCTCCGGTGGGACGGGTTTTTCCGGCTCAGGGTTGCTGAGAAACTCTTCATCCTCCGCAAATGTATCCGCATCCACGCTACCTCTTCCCTTCTCCATATCCTTCTCATGTCTCTTATGTCGTTGTCTCACTTCTTTCCTATGGACGTGCTGCTCTTTCCATCTCTCCAGTTCTTCTTCGTACCTTGATACATTCATCTCTCTGGTTTCTTCAAAATCATGCTTTCTCTCTTGGAATTCCTTTTCAATCTCATAATTCCAATCCTAACATTTTAATAGAGTTAGAACAAGAAAAAATTGGGACTAGAAAGACGACTTTTGGATTCAATTTATGATTTTAAATAGTCCAATGAACAAAAAACACTGTAACTTTGCAGTGTACATGCAGGACTCTCAGAACTTTGACTGAGGAAATAACGGGTTTTAGTGACGAGTGAGAGACCATTACACTAATAATTGATTTTAATAGCTACTATTAAAACTATTTGCTGTTTAAACAACATCAAATACACTTTATTTTGACTTTTATCATTTCTTCTTATTCCACAGATTTCTGGTTCTCACTGTATAATATATTTACCTAAGGATAAAATCATCTTTTTAATTTTGTTCCTGACCTGAGCATCTTTGTGTGAATTCGAGTTTTCTTTGTGAATAATTAGTTTATGACTTGTAACAGAATAATTTTGATTCTTCCGTACATCTCTTAGATCCTTCCAGACATAAACTATAGATTTGACAAGCTCTCGTTCCCCTAGTAGACAAGTATTTTATAATATTTCCAGGGATAGAGTTTCCACGCGAAACTATTGGTCCTGGTTTAAATTCTAGTGAGTTTTAGCTTTATAATCCATTTTTAACCAATAACTATAGGTTTTTGTATTTTCTTTTTTGTATTTTATTCCTTTTTTGTTGTGTTATGTTTTATCAATATTTAAGTAAAAAATGTCAATTACGCTATTTGTAACGGATTTGAATGTGACAGGATGAACTTCACTATAGTTAGTTTTACGTGTTTCAGAAGCTCAATTTTATTTTATTTTTTAAAAGAAGAAAGAAATAAGTAAAAGGTAATTTTTCATTTTCTCCAAAACATTAATGAACAAAACATTCCATACAACTGGAAGGCGGGATGCTCTAAAAAGATTATTTTTTGATTAAATGTATCTACTATCTGCTATATATTCTAGTTTAAAGGTAGAAATCGCGAAAGAAAGGAAGGTGGTGTGAGTGTTGAATAATAAATGCAACAGCACTATTACTTATTATTATGTTTCAATAAAGAGAAGTTAACAGAAACTGTATAAACATAGCTAAAAACTTTCTTTGTCTGCTGTCTTATCAGCAGTCCAGAACAAGGTTAAGTCGTTAGAGAAAACTGACATTTTGTCTGTGGAGTTCTGTTTTTACCAATTTTTTGAAGAAACATCGGATACAGATAACACGAGAATACTATATCTATATCTTTACAACCCAATGTCGCACAGCTTAGAAATTTCAAATTATGAATTCTGTTAGATTAAATGATCTAAATATCAAAGGTATACACCATCAGGTTATTTAAATTGGAAAATTAAAATTTGTGGCAAAGACTCAAGTCCTTCGATAGTAGTACATCTTAAAACCCTTTTAATTCAAGAACTTTCCCTGTAAAATATTTTGAAGATTACCAAAGGATAAATCATCTCTCTCCTTCCTAACAGCCCTGATCTCCGTCCTGTAGGAGCAGAGACGTTTTCTCTGAAACTCTGATTCCTCGGATACAGACGATAATGCCAGTCCTTCAACCTTCTCACACTCAACATATAGGGTTCTAAAAAAAAACAAAAAAAAGGTTATTTTTCAGAATGCTTTGATGTATTTTTTTTTTGCTCGAGATAATTCTGAGAGTAAAATCTATTAAAAGGAATTGAGTCTTTGCCACAAACTCTGGTTTTCTAATCCCAATATCTTTGCAACCCATGGTCGAATAACTTAGATACTTCAAACTATGATATTTGTAATATCAGATAATCTAAGTTTGAAATATCAAAGGTTTACATCATCAGATTTATAAGTTAAAGGGATTAGAAAATTGTTTGTGGCAAAGACTCTCTTCCTTTGACTGCTTTCTCCTTACAACTTCCCTAAAATAAAATAAAAAACGCTTTCTAAACTTTCAACTATCAATCTTGTTACGAACTTCAAAATGAATTTCATGGAAAATTTTCATAAGGAGAACCAATGTTTTAAATCTAACACATGCTATATGTTTGCAAAAAAAATCGAAGAAAGAAAAGACGATTTTGCAAAGAAGAGACTGTAAAAGATCAAGCATAAGAGTTGTCGAAAATCTGCGCGAATTAAAAAGATGCATGAAAATTACCATGTTGCGTAAAACCTTATTAAAAATCTTTTTCACAACCCCTAAAACCTATTTTATTTTTTCAAAACATAAAAATAAATCTACAATTTTTATTTCTAATAGATGTTTGTTAATCGTCTAAATGCAATGTAAAAAAAAATACATATGTTTCCTTGTTTAGAATGGGGGAGAAATATTGGCACAAACTTTTTTAGGTTTTTAAATAACCTTCCATAACAACCACGTGGTTTGAGCTGGGTTGGGTTTTATTTCTCTAGGTACCTGAGCTTATTGGTAAGGATTGATTGGGAATTACTCCGAACCCTGGTTGAATAGTCATGATACAGCTCCATCAGTTTTCTAATAATCAGACAATTAGTATAAAATTATTTGTTTGCTTCTTCATTTGAAAATGAATGTGTTTTTCATTTTTAAAAATAAAAAATAATCATGTTATTCCTTCTCTATAATCAATAACATCGTTATTGGTATCATTATTATGAAAAGAGAGCGAGCAAAGATTTCTTGAGCCACTTATTTCAACTTCCCGGAATATTTTTTTTTATTGTAAGAGAAAAATATATTTTAAAGGGACTGTAAGCGTAATTTTAAATGACCATCTCCAAGACGGCAATGTCCTATTTACAACGGTACCCTTGAAACATTGCTCTAATAAAAAATGTGGAAGATAAAATAGTTTTTCTGTGTTTTTTTCTGTAGTTGTTTCTTATAAGCAAGATATGCGAAAACCACAAATAAAAATAAATAGTTCAGAGAAACAAAACCATTTAAATCTAATTCATACTTGATCAGACAAAGCATTTAAAGGCACCGAATTGTAAATCTAACATTGCCATCTTTAAATGGAGGATAACATGAAATTACGCTAACAGTCCCTTTAAGATAATGAAATAACCTGGTCAGAGATAACATTACGCTTACAGTCCCTTTAAGATAATAAAATAACCTGGTTAGAGATAACATTACGCTTACAGTCCCTTTAAGATAATAAGATAACCTGGTTAGATAGTGTTCTAAGGAGAAAAGATGATGATGGTTTAGAACCATCGAGGCTAAATCCAGCTCTAGATCAGATATTTCATTTAACAATAGGAAAGTAATTAAAATTTTTCTGTTATTTTACAAAGCTTGTTTCCTTCCATGGTGGATTTTAAACAAAAATTACGAGTTTTTCGTCAAATTCATTTTTCCAGGAAAAGTTTTGAAAACTTACATTTGTCCAGCGGAAATATCCTCTTAATTTATCAAAATCATTAGAATGCTCAAAAATGGCGAGATGGTGGGAAATAATATTTTTATTTCGTTCTCCCAAGTTACCCAATCAAAATTTGAGACAAATCGGTCGATGGTTTCCCGAGCTATGATCGGACAAAAAAACAGGGATTACAACTTGATATATATAGATGAAAGCTATTCTGACCAAATGGATAGACCAAATGGGCTGAAATTTGTCAAAGGAACCCGGTCATGGGTACCCTCCACTTGAGGTAACATGGGCAAAAAAAATTCCTCAAAAAGGAACTGAGTTTTTGCCACAAACTCAAATTTTCTATTTCCAATATCTTTGCAACCTGATGGTATAAAAATTATTTTATATCAAATTTAGACTGCTTGATCTAACAGAATTCAAAGATTGTAATAGTAAAGTCTACAACATTAGGTTGTAAAGATTTTATTTTCAAAATTCGAATTTTTTTCAAAATGTGTTTCTTAAATTCTACGGGCAAGGCCGGGCACTTCAGCTAGTTAAATATAATTATGAAAACAGAAAGAGCTTAAAAGTTAGAGAAAGCCAGAATAACTAACTGTAGACTATAGAAAAAAATGAAAAATCCCTAGAAGGCAGTGTTCTCCTTCTGCTAGATCAGAGATGATAAGCTGACCGGCCTGTGAGCTTGGTACAGCCGGTACATATCTAGTGAGCTCATCTCCGGTCTATAATAAATAATAGCATTATTATTAATTACTGAAATCCAATTTTTTAAAAATACATAAAGATTTTACACCTTTTAAACCTAGTTTTCAATGCTAACAGGAAAAGATTATAGAATAATCTTTGAATCTTACGGTTTTCAAATTTTTTCCTTTTAACTTAGTGTATGCAATATCTTATAGCTAAATATGTTAATAATATTATCTGCGAAGTCCTTGTTATCAAAAATGTTAAAAAGTTTAACCTGGAAATGAATTCTTGTCGGATTCTTATTTAACGGATCGTGTAAACATTGAAATCTTCCATCTGATCCAAACCAGCCTTTACGATCAGAACCAGTCTCATGGATTATCCTAATGGGGAAAAAAATAATAATAGTAATAATAATAATAACAAAAATAATAATAATAATAATAATAATAATAATAATAATAATAATAATAATAATAATAATATAATATGGATTTTTTTTTTTAATTTTGAAAAAAAAAAAAATTTTTTGCCTATAACACCTCCGGCGGCCCATGAGTGTGTACGAAAAATTTCAGCCCAAGCTCCAGTCATTTGGTCGGCTATAGGCAACATATATATATGTCTTGTTTTATTATATAGATAATAATGATAATGATATTGATAATGATAATGATAATTATAATGATAATGACAATAATAATGATAATTATATAATTATAATGATAATGATAATTATAATGATAATGATAATGATAATGATAATGATAAAGATAATGATATTTAAAAGTTAAGGTTTATAATAAAGTTGTTGCCTATTTTGTATTTTGTTAAGAGTCCTCAGGGGCAAACTGGGTGGTTTCCCGACAAACACCCCCTCTTCCTCCTCGAGTCCAGGCCCCTGATCTCCGACCCTCTCCGCCAGTGTCGGAGGGTGGGAGGAGGGGGAGAAGTAAACCTTGCTCTCGTTCTCTACCCGGAGACTGTATGGAATTATTTCAGCCCCGTTCCACTCAGATACACTCCAGGTATATTCTTTTCCTGAATTTTAAAATCTAAATATTACATTTTGTTGAAAGTTTGGAGCTAATAAACAAAACTTGTGATTTAAAGCTTTTTATCGCAACTGTTTGTAACGCACATCAACAATATCTAGATATTAAAGTCTAAAGGTCTAAACATTATATCTTGAAACAAATCCTTCTAAAGAAATTTTTGTCCAACCCGGTGGGCAGTTCTTTTTCAATTGACGTAATTAGCTTTTAGAATGTATTTTTTTATGATTATTAATGTGCGTTTATTTTTTACTAAATAACAATGGTTAAGCGAGTTTAAACTTCTTAGTAAATTACGATTGTTTATTCCTATTAGCTCCGTTAAATAGACATCTTAAATGATAAAAAATGTCTGAATGGTTTTTTGTTAAAAAATAAAGACCCTTAAACTAAAATGTTTATATCTTTAATATTTAGTAATATTCATCTAATTTTTATTCGTTCAATCTTTAAAAAAAAATGTGTTACCAATATAATCTTTTGCAAGCAGTTTCTGTTTATCATTATCTTCCTCTCCTTCATCCGCTGTTACATACTCATCATCATCCCCCTCTTCTTCGTCTTCTCTTTCCTCTTTCTTCTTCTTCTTCTTCTTCTTCCTCTTCTGTTCCTGGTTACTTCTGTTCTCTACTACCACCTCCTTCAATGAGTGATCAGTTGGTAATTTTTGCAAGTTTTTTGCCTTTATTTTTTCTGCAGCGTCAAAATCTGGCATTGCGCAAGAAGATAAAACGTTTTCAAAATTTTCATTTAGTATGTCAAAATCTGACCCTGACAATTAGGCTAAAAAACGATGAAAAAGTTAACGTGTTTTAACATTTAAAAACTAACACAAAAATAAACAAGAATACCTCCAATGTATCTTCAGACCAAACTTTAGAAAAGAACTCGAATGCTTCCTCTCCACTGTTCTTCTCCACAGCTTCAAACTACAGGTATAAAGATAATAGTGAGACGTTTAAAGAGACTGATAATGATATATTCTTTTACCCTACCATTAAAAACTATCATTGATTTTTAAATTTACCCTTTAAACATTTATAGTAGAAACCTTTTACGATAAAACAAAGAGAGGATTTCTTTAAGAACAGTCGAGAAAGAAAATGACCGGGATTTTTTAAAAGTTGTAAAGTTTTTGGAAAAGTTTCGGTTGATATTCTAATTGAGTTTTGCAAATTTTGTCTCTGAAAAGAACTAAATCTGTGCCACAAACTCTAACTGTTCAATTGCTATATCTTTTGATGCAACCTTATGGTGTAAACCTTTGATATTTCAAACCTAGACTATATCGATCTATAATAAAACTCATAGTTTGAAATATCTAGAGTCTACCACATTGGTTTGCAAAGATATAGGGATAAGAAAATCAGAGTTTGTGGCAAAGACTAAGTTCAAATATTTGTATAAACTGTAAGAATATGATACTTTTTTTGTATTTTTTTTCATTTGAGCAATTTTACATGAAACGTAAAATACGTATTATTTTTTAATTATGTTTTTATGATTTAGATAGATAGAACAGAATTCATCAGCATGCTGGTTTTGATCGATAGAACAGTTTTTTACATGCTGGTTTCGATATATATTACAGTTTTCAGCATGCTGGTTTAGATAGATAGAACAGAATTCACCATGCTTACAGTTTAGTTTTTGATTAAATCTAACAATTTATACTTATGGTAGTACAAGAATATAATTCAAACAAATTGTATAATCTGACCTTATTTGATGATTTTAAAGCATGTTTATCAAATGCAATCTGAGCTTCGTAATCTTCTTCCTAAAACGTTGGAAACTAATAAAGATGAAATTATGAATAGTTATCTGGGGAACATTTTATCATTCTAGTATTTTTGTTTTAAATAAAAAAATCAATTTAGTCATAAAAATAAAAAAAAAACTATTGCATCTTTTAAAAAAAATATTCATCTAAGTTATCTGGGGAACATTTTATCTTTAATATCTTTTTTATCTTTTTATCATTTTTAACTTTTTTATCTTTTTTATCTTTATCCTTTATATCTTTTTTTATCTTATTTATCTTTTTTATCTTTTTTTATCTATTTCATTTATTTTATTTTATTGATTTATCCGATTTCAAACAAACTCCAACTTTCAAATCCCTATGTCTTGAGCGTAAACCTTTGATATTTCAAACTTAGATTATTTGATGTAACAGAATTCATCATTTGAAATATCAAATGTCTACTACATTGAGTTGCAATGATATTTGGATTTCAAAATCAGAGTTTGTGGCAAAGACTCAATTCCTATCTCTTATTTGTTTGATTCATCTGATTTTATTGTCACCTTTAATCTGTCCTCTACCCTTGAGGATTGCTGGCGGAGAAGTTTAGGATTTCTAGTTTCCTCGGAGATTTTCTTCCTCTCAAGTTTCTGTTTTAATTTCTCTTTTGCAGATATCTTCCTGCTCTCTTTCATACTGTCCTTGTCCTTTTCCCCTCTTTCCTCCATTGCTTTAGGTTTTCTTTCTTCTTTCATCTTTGTTTTTTCTTCGTCCTCGTTTTGACTCCTCCAACCAGGTTCAGGGTTGGAGGGTTTTCTGTCTTCAGATACAAGCTCTCCTAAATGCAACGCAAAAATTATAAAAACAAATTTAATTATAATGATTCATTTTTGATTTCACAACTTTTTACAATCTGTTTTTAATAAGTTTACCTCGAGATTTCTTTTTCTTATCTGTCTTCAATACTTTTTTTAAACTCTCCTTTTCAGGTTCTACTTCTTTTTCAGAATCTTCTTTTTTCAATTTTTCTTCTGGGTTCTCGTTTACAGTTTTCTCTTCGTCCTTGATCTCAACTGAATCTTCCTTTTTGGATTTGCCCAATTTACGAAGCGGATTCATTTTCTTTAGTTTAGAACCAAAACTAAAACCTTTATTCTTTTCTTTCTCATCTTCCTTCTTCTCCTCCTCTTTCTCTTCTCCTACCTTCCCCTCATCCTTTTTGCCCTCCTCCTCTGGTTGAATAATAACCGTTTCCTCCACAACTTGTATTTCATCTTCCTCATTCTTCCTGAAGCTAGATTCTCCGGTATCCTTCTCCCTCCTGGAGCTGGATTCTCCCGTATCCTTCTCCCTTCTGGAGCTGAATTCTCCGGTACCCTTTTCTCTCCCGGAGCTGGATTCTCCGGTATCCTTTTCCCCCCTGGAGGTAGATTGTCTGGTATCCTTCTCCCCCCTGAAGCTGAATTCTCCTGTATCCTTCTCCCTCCTGGAACTGGATTCTCCGGTATCATTTTCCCTCCTGGAGCTGGGTTCTCCGGTTTCCTCCGTCCTGCTTTTGTCTGTTTTTCCTTTTTTCCGGATTTTCTTTTTCTCCGTAACCATGATTAGATTATTGGTAAGTCAGCTCTGCGTGATTTTTGTTTGACCAGTCCACTTACTTTTTTTGTAGCACTGAACATCAAAATTTCAAAGCTGGAAAATGCTCGTTAGTATCTTCAGTTTTGAAGAAAATATCGATAGGTTTTCGCTTCATAATTTGCACCTTTTAGCGCACATTTTGTAGACAAGATTTTCTTGATTCTTGAGATCGATGATGAGATTTACTGGACATTGATAACCTGGAACTCCTGGTCTGAGATTCTTAACACAGAATTTAGTTTAACTTCTCTTTTGCATTCACCCAATTCACATTGGCACTATTAAAACTTTATCTTGGTGATAATGAGGAAGATATTGTCGGTTGGAATAGAAACCGAGGTTGAAAATTGTTAAGACAAGAAAATTATTTGCTTGGCTTAAGGTTTAAAGGTTGTATATCCGGCATGTAATTATTTACATGAAGAGTCAGTTTAAATTACGTTTACAGTCCCTTTATGAGAATTTCCATGAACATTCTTTTTTATCAAGACGATACATTGACACACAACTGAAGCTAAAGTCCTGTTCAAAATAAGGATATTGTTTGATTGTATTGTGCTTGTTAAAAGTGTAAGCATCAGCCTTGAATTTCTGATATCCAATATCCATAGGGGGGGGGGGGACTTATATCATATTTATATCCAAAATTGTAGGGTATTGCAGATAAAATCATAATTTCATAAGAATTTTTATAACAGTTAAAAACAATCTCTGCATTGTAAAATTCTTGTATGAAAATTTAAGTGAAAAAAATCGAATTTAAAAAATCTAATTCTGTTCCTGGGTCGAATAGTCTCCAAGTATCTTTCCGTAACAACCATTCCAACCTAAACATGTTTTATCTCCATATTTTACTTCAATTAAATAAATGCATAAAGGAATTCAATGATATTTCAAACTATGAGTTCTGTTAGATCAAGTATAAGTCTAAGTTTGGAATATCGAGGGTTTACACCATCAGGTTGTTAAAATATAAAGATTAGAAAATTTGTGTTTGTTGCAAAAACTCAACTCCTTTATTGCCAGTCACGCCAAACAGTAAATTGAAATGCACTGTTGACATGAACCACATAGATTGTAGCATCGATCAATGTTATCAAAAGAATCCTATTTCGACATATCTAACACACAATATTTATACTAAATTAAAAACTGGTTAAACGACCTAGAACTGAATTTTACGATCTAAAGGTTAATTTTGGTCTTTCGTTTTTTTATATCAAAGAAATTTCTTTGTTTTCAGAGAAAATAGAATAAATTCAACGCTGCAATCTACAAGAATATAAGTTTGTTAACTAAACTTAATAATTTTCGTTTAGTTGACTCTGAAGTCTCATCTTTTGCGGGTAACCCTGTACCCTGTACAGTGTTCAGTGTACATACATACATAAAAACATAGAAGCCGAGTGGTATTTAAATTATACATTTGAATTAATTATTTCTAGCAAAACATCTGCTCTTCCTTCTAGATTTATCAATATTTTATATGCTTGCATTGTGTTTAGATTATGCGAAATGTGTGGAGAGGGGGAAAATAAACTAAATAAAAAGATATCGTTTGTAGTACAGACTCAAAACAAGATGTACTGCAATGTTAGGAACTATTTGATTTTCCAGAGGTATGAATTAATGAATAGAAAGAAGTATAGTTCAACTACAAGACTAAGAGTTCAATGTAGAAGTATTTATTTCGACTATCCATCCCTAATTTAACCACTTTTCTCTATTCATACACTGCATCTCTTATCATCTCTGATAAAAATAAAATTAATGGAAACATTAGAAGGATTCTGTTTTTTCCCGTTCAATCACAAGATTACAGTTATATATTACTCTAAAACCGAAATGAAATGATTTTATGTCAAGGCATCAGAACTGAATATAATATTATCCTGTGCGTTTGATCAGAACTGTATATAATATTATCCTGTGTGTTTGGATCAGAACTGTATATAATATTATCCTGTGTGTTTAATCAGAACTGAATATAATATTATCCTGTGGGTTTAATCAGAACTGTATATAATATTATCCTGTGTGTTTGATCAGAACTGTATATAATATTATCCTGTGTGTTTGATCAGAACTGTATATAATATTATCCTGTGTGTTTGATCAGAACTGTATATAATATTATCCTGTGTGTTTGATCAGAACTGTATATAATATTATCCTGTGTGTTTGATCAGAACTGTATATTTTCCTGGGTAAATACTTGATCAATCAACAATGTAAAATATTAAAGTTGGGTCATGATTATACCATGATCAATGATCAATAATCTTGATCAATTATACCCAGCACACTAGTACTACTCCTACCTGAAGTAGGTTCAATTGATCATACCTTGATCAATGATCATGTATATCCAGCACACTAGTACCACTCCTACCTGGATTAGGTTCAAGATCATACCTTGATCAATGATCATGTATATCCAGCAAACTAGTACTACTCCTACCTGGAGTAGGTTCAAGATTATACATTGATCAATGATCAGGTATATCCAGCAAACTAGTACTACTCCTACCTGGAGTAGATTCAAGATTATACCTTGATCATGTATACCCAGCACACTAGTACCGCTTCTACCTGGAGTAGGTTCAAAATTATACCATGATCAAGTATACCCAGCAAACTAGTACTACTCCTACCTGGAGTAAGTTCAAGATTATACCTTGATCATGCATACCCAGCACACTAATACTACTTCTACCTGGAGTAGGTTCAAGATTTTACCTTGATCATGTATACCCAGCACACTAGTACCACTCCTACCTGCACAGTAGGTTCAAGATTATACCTTGATCATGTATACCAGAACACTAGTACTACTCCTACCTGGAGTAGGTTCAAGATTATACCTTGATCATGTATACGATCATGTATATCCAGCAAACTAGTACCACTCCTACCTGGAGTAGGTTCAAGATTATACCTTGATCATGTGTACCCAGCAAACTAGTACTACTCCTACCTGGAGTAGGTTCAAGATTATACCTTGATCATGTATACCCAGCAAACTAGTACTATTCCTGCCAGCAGAAGATTCAGAACAAGATCTAAACAATTTCTTTTAAGTCATGATTATAAACACGATCTAACTAATAAAAATGATAATAATCATAATAATAATAATAACATACTAATAATAGTGAAAATAATGAAAATGATAATAATAATAATATTCCTATTGATAATAATTATACTAATAATAATAATAATAATAAAAACAAAAGAATATAAACCTGTTTTCTGTCTATGACTCAAGGCAGTGGAAGACATGCTTAATACAAAATAAACATTTTTTTCTGAAATTTATCAGCTTCGACAAATAGACGCAACATTATTCATTTTTTTCTTTCTCAAGTTTACATTGGAGTTAGAGCAGGCTAAAACTGGATACTAGAGATTCATTCATTCAGAACAGATATAAACTTTATATTTCACACAAATTTATGAAATTTTCTCGGAAAAGGCCATATTGGATAAAAAGAGATAAGTTATTAATATTGTCTCTTCTTATTTGTAAACCGTGGGCTGGTGTGAGATATTTCTTAGAAACATAATTTAGAGACAGACAATGAAAATTATTTTAATAGTCAGGACATTTAACAGAAAGGATATTGTAGATTGTAGATAGGACATTGCAAAGATAGGACACTTTAAGAATAATATTTCATAGGCAAAACATTTTATAGATTAATCATAACATTATAGATGGACATTTCACATGCAGTACATTGAAATATCATGAATAAGACATTTAATTTTATTGGACAAATTAAAGAAGACATTTTAAAAACAGGAAATTTTGCAGAGGATTTTGTTAGCTGAGGTTCATTTTTTTCCTTTTCCAAATTATCTTTCCAGATAGAACTACATTGTTGTTTTCACGATATAAGAAATCAGATTTTTCTTTGTTTATGAAATGTCTTATCTATAACATGTCCTATTTATATCATGTCTTTATCTATGAAATGTCCTATATAAAAATGTCTAACATATAAATCTCTATTAAATGTCTCGACATATAAGAAATAGACTCCTGACTCCTGAGATTGTACCGTCTATTGTTTGTGTATACTGGAGTGGAATGTATTACTGGGAAAGGTTGGGAAAGTTGGTTAGTTGTCTACCTGTCACTTTTACACTAGTTTACACTTTAGAGGGAAGGATAAGCTTTCCTTTTTATTTGAATAAAATGCTTATAACCTATTGTACTTTCTAGTTTTAAAATGTTTATAACCTGTTGTACTTTCTAGTTTTAAAATGTTTATAACCTGCTGTACTTTCTAGTTTTAAAATGTTTATAACCTGTTGTACTTTCTAGTTTTAAAATGTTTATAACCGTTGTACTTTCTAGTTTTAAAATGTTTATAACCTGTTGTACTTTCTAGTTTTAAAATGATTATAACCTGTTGTACTTTCTAGTTTTAAAATGTATATAACCTGTTGTACTTTCTGGTTTTAAAATGTATATAACCTGTTGTACTTTCTAATTTTAAAATGTATATAACCTGTTGTGCTTTCTAGTTTTAAAATGTTTATAACCTGTTGTACTTTATAGTTTTAAAATGTAAATAACCTGTTGGACTTTCTAGTTTTAAAATGTGTTTAACCTGTTGTACTTTCTAGTTTTAAAATGTAAATAACCTGTTGTACTTTCTAGTTTTAAAATGTATATAACCTGTTGTACTTTCTAGTTTTAAAATGTTTATAACCTGTCGTATTTTCTAGTTTTAAAATGTTTATAGCCTGTTGTACTTTCTAGTTTTAAAATGTTTATAACCTGTTGTACTTTCTAGTTTTAAAATGTTTATAACCTGTTGAACTTTCTGGTTTTAAAATGTATATACCCTGTTGTACTTTCTAGTTTTAAAATGTACATAACCTGTTGTACTTTCTAGCTTTAAATGCTTATAACCTGTTGTACTTTCTAGTTTTAAAATGTTTATAACCTGTTGTACTTTCTAGTTTTAAAATGTTTTGAAGTTGCAAAAGTGAAGCAAAATTTTGAATACTTTTACAGGTATATATGTATTTAAACAGTAAAATCAATATTTCATAGAAGAAACATAAAGTCGATATTTGTGATTGTGAAGAAGGGATCGGGAATATAATAAATTGGGACGCGGGCCAGGTCGGAATATATTTTATCATTGTACACTGTACGTCCTCCCTTGCAATATATAAGACGTGCAGGATGTAAAGGAAAATTTAGAATTGTTCGTGGTATTGGTCCAATATTTGGAAAATGGCCAAGCTTCAACTCTACGACAGAAAAATCCATTTCCTGGCTTTCTGCCTCTTCTATATTGATGAAATTTGGGCTTAAATCACGGGTCGTGACGGGATCCGACCCCTGTCGACTGGTTGCGTGTACCGTCACGTATGGGGTGATAGGATGAGGTAATTGTCCCCTGGCGGGTTATTAGTGCCGTGTCGGTACAGCACCTCCTGGGCAAAGGAAGATTATTAAATTCTGTCCGGTACAGCACCCCTGCAGCGAGGCTGGGGTTCCTCCTGTCATTATTGGAAAGTCGGGCCGGACCGCTATAATTTAGCAGAAAACATCAACTCAGCAGAGTCGAGGAAACACCGTGTTTAACACAAGCATTGGAAGCAAAGAAATAACGATTTTCCGATATCTAAAATTATGGCTTTTTAATCCAAATCTAATTCAATATCTATCGACTTGCGAAGTTTTTCTTTATGAAAAGATTCGAGGCAGAGTTTAACTGCAAAACATGATCTAAGCCTCCCCTAGACTGTAGTGAGTACAGGACCAGGTGGGATGCTCTTGCTCAGTAGTCAGTAGTGTGGAATCTATACCCAGAGAAGTATGTTAGTGAAATATTTTAGTATATTTTTCCAAATCCATGACTGGTTCATATCTTTGCAGTGAAAACATGATTAAACTGTGAAATTAGGTTGGTTTAGAGCTTTAACAGCTCATAGAGAAACCAGTTTGTTGTTTACAAAATAAGAATGGACGGATACAGATCTGGGAAAAGACATTGTTCCCACCGTTCAAGGGGACAACAGAAGGAACGAAGAGAACCTGTGAAAAAATCGGCTGCAAGTTTGCTTGATATAGCAGCCAAGTTTGTAGCTAAAACCCTCCCGTTCCAAAGAATCGAGGAACGGTTCCCGCGTATTCCAGAGCCTGTTCAGGAACGCCTGGTTTTCTGGGCGTTCCCACGAGATGAGCGGGATATTCGTATGTACAGCTCCCCCTGCGGAAACACCGCGAACGCGTTGGAGTACCAGAACTCCCCTTTTTGCCAGGGGTTAAGGTTACTGGAGCAGGGAGCTGTTTCAAGTGTTCTTCAAGTCGGTAGGTTAAATCTTATTTCTCTTGGTGCTAATCTCTCCTAACATTATAGGACGGACACTAATGTTGAGGAATCAATATTGGTGCCGGATACACTGTGCAGTTTAGTTTTGTATTCGTAGTATCAGGTTGCACTGCAACTCTAGTTTCTAGACCTTGCTCTACACTATACATGGAGTTTAAAGAATCTATCCTGTACTCTATATAATACCTAGAGTTTTAAACTGTACTCTAAACTAATCCTAGAATTCTTTACACTCTAAACTCTACCTAGAGTTCAAGGGAGATATTCATGTGCTCGGAACTATACCTAGAGTTCAAGGAATTCATCTTGTACTCTAAAAAAACCTAAGAGTTGAAGGAATCCTTCCTGTACTCTAAACTATACCCAGAGTTCAAGGAATTCATCCTGTACTCTAAATTATGTCCAGAGTTCAAGGAATTCATCCTGTACTCTAAACTATACCTAGAATTCAAGGAATCCGTCCTGTACACTTAACTATTCCCAGAGTTCAAGAGGTTCATCCTGTACTTTAATCTATACCCAGAGTTCAAGGGATTTATCCTGTACTCTAAACTATACCAAGAGTTCAAGGAATTCATCCTGTACTCTAAACTTTACCCAGAGTTCAAGGAATTCATCCTGTACTCTAAACTATACCCAGAGTTCAAGGAATTCATCCTGTACTCTAAACTGTACCCAGAGTTCAAGGAATTTACCCAGAGTTCAAGGAATTCATCCTGTACTCTAAACTATACCCAGAGTTCTAGGAATTCATCCCTCCAATATATCTTGAACCTCTGGTGCTAGGTTTGTTTAGTTGAGCAAACTTCTACAATATCCAACAATATACAATCTGCTCTAATACTATTAGTGTTTAGTTACGAGGCAACTCACGTAGATCTGTACCACGCCCCCCTCCCTAATCCCACCTCCACACCTATAAATCTGACCCCACCCTCTGCCGCTCTCCTCGCCAAAATTTCCTTCCATTTTTTATTGTAGTTCTGTTCTATTTTTGTTTCTCACCCTACCATTTCCAATCCTTCTTCGTTCTCACATCTTCTAACTTTCACATTTTTTATGCTTTTATTTCTCTTTTGTGCTTTATCTTCCCAAGACTTTATCGTACATTATTTCGCTTTTCTTGATCCTCCATCCTGCTTTAACTCTTGATCCTCCATCCTGCTTTAACTCTTGATCCTCCATTCTGCTTTAACTCTTGATCCTCCATCCTGCTTTAACTCTCCATCCTCCATCCTGCTATAACTCTCTATCCTTCATCATGCTTTAACTCTTGATCCTCCATCCTGCTTTAACTCTTGATCCTCCATCCTGCTTTAACTCTTGATCCTCCATCCTGCTTTAACTCTTGATCCTCCACTCTGCTTTAATTCTCGATCCTTCATCCTGTTTTAACTCTCGATCCTTCATCCTGCTTTAACTCTCGATCCTTCATCCTGCTTTAACTCTCCATCCTCCATCCTGCTATAACTCTCTATCCTTCATCATGCTTTAACTCTTGCTCCGCCACCTTTCCCTTACTCTTAATACTTCATCCTATTTTGTTCGTGATAAAATCCCTATTTCGTCCAATATCCCTCTCCTTGCTTATACATCCCCCCTAGTGTATGTTTATACATACATTGAGTATTTATACAACAGATTCTTCTCCATCCGTCCCTCTACATTCCCCTTATCTTATCCGTCCCTCTCAATTCCCCTTATCTTATCCGTCCCTCTTCATTCCCCTTATCTTATCCGTCCCTCTTCATTCCCCTTATCTTATCCGTGTCTCTTCATTCCCCTTATCTTATCCGTCCCTCTTCATTCCCCTTATCTTATCCGTCCCTCTTCATTCCCCTTATCTTATCCGTCTCTCTTCATTTCCCTTACCTTATCCGTCCCTCTTCATTCCCCTTATCTTATCCGTCCCTCTTCATTCCCCTTATCCGTCCTTGTTCCTTTCCCTTACTTTTGTTCACCATCTTTTCCGCCCCTCTTTTAACCCATCTCTTTCCTTTCCAATCTTATCCGTCCCTCCCTCATCTATTCTCGTTCTTACTTTCTTATCCGTATCCACATCCCTTCCTTTTATTATTGTTCTCTCTTTCTTTTCTCTTATTTCGTTCCGTTTCTCCGTTCCTCGCTCAACCCATTCATTTATCCCCATCTGAACCCTCCCTTCCCTCTCTATCCCTCCTTCATTCCTCCACATAATTGAAAAGATCGAACCCAGGGGAACATAGGGGAACTTTTCTGCCAAACCAGCATCCATTTTAGATTCTTACTTTAAACCCAACCTTATTCCATTTTAGATTCTCACTTTAAACCCAACCTTATTCTATTTAAGATTCTTACTTTAAACCCAACCTTATTCCATTTTAGATTCTTACTTCAAACCCAACCTTATTCCATTTTAGATTCTTACTTTAAACCCAACCTTATTCCATTTTAGATTCTTACTTTAAACCCAACCTAATGCAATTTTAGATTCTTACTTTAAACCCAACCTTATTCCATTTTAGATTCTTACTTTAAACCCAACCTAATGCAATTTTAGATTCTTACTTTAAACCCAACCTTATTCCATTTTAGATTCTTACTTTAAACTCAACCTAATCCAATTTTAGATTCTTACTTTAAACCCACTTCATCCCATCTCAGATCCTTATGGAGAATCTTACTCCTAACCCCAACTGTATTCCAGTTAAGAACCTAATTCCAACCACGTAGTTTCATTCCTTGACAAATTCTGCCTTTTTATAATTTTATTCCAACTCGGCATTTGGTTAAGAATCTTGGTATTGAAAAACTTTTTTCCCGGTCTTTTTTTGGAATTTTTCTTGTATTTTTCAATAGTTTTGCACTAGATCAAGACTAGTTTGTGAAACATATTTTTCTCCCGCCGTAATTTTCATCTTTTTTTAATTCCCTGAATTTTTCATTTTAACATTTGTTCCAACTCCTTCCATTTTGAGAACTCTCAACCCAATCCCCAATTCAATAATCTTGATCCATCCCGACTCTAGTGTCGGAGTAAGCATGATATCGTACCTTTATCTCAAGAATATGATTCAGCTCTACCCTTATATTCATTCATGCAAGGTGTCAAGGGGTTTATGGGAGAGGGAGGGATTTAATTAACAGAGGTCAGTTGAGTCCAAAAAATATAAACGTCCTACACACAGAATTAAATTTGTGATTTGAAAGTTGGATTGGTTTATTAAGTAGATTGCAAGATGCACAGTGGGCTGTGAGGTTAGTTAGTTTGGATATATAAGAATAGGGTGCAGGATACACAGTAGGTTGTGGAGTTAGTTAGGTTGGATATATAAGAATAGGGTGCAGGATACACAGTAGGTTGTGGAGTTAGTTTGTTTGGATATATAAGAATAGGGTGCAGGATACACAGTAGGTTGTGGAGTTAGTAAGTTTGGATATATAAGAATAGGGTGCAGGATACACAGTAGGTTTAGAATAGGGTGCAGGATACACAGTAGGTTGTGGAGTTAGTTTGTTTGGATATATAAGAATAGGGTGCAGGATACACAGTAGGTTGTGGAGTTAGTAAGTTTGGATATATAAGAATAGGGTGCAGGATACACAGTAGGCTGTGGAGTTAGTTAGTTTGGATATATAAGAATAGGGTGCAGGATACACAGTGGGATGTGGAGTAAGTTAGTTTGGATATATAAGAATAGGGTGCAGGATACACAGTAGGTTATGTTGTTAGTTAGGTTGGATATATAAGAATAGGGTGCAGGATACACAGTGGGTTGTAGAGTTAGTTATTTTGGATATATAAAAATAAGGTGCAGGATACACAGTGGGTTGTAGAGTTTGTTAGGTTGGATATATAAGAATAGGGTGCAGGATACACAGTGTGCTGTGGAGTTAGTTAGGTTGGATATACAAGAATAGGGGGCAGGATACACAGTGTGCTGTGAAGTTAGTTAGGTTGGATATATAAGGATAGGGTGCAGGATACACAGTAGGTTGTGGAGTTAGTTAGGTTGGATATCCAAGAATAGGGTGCAGGATACACAGTGGGTTGTGGAGTTAGTTAGTTTGGATATATAAGAATAGGGGGCAGGATACACAGTAGGTTGTGGAGTTGGTTAGTTTGGATATCCAAGAATAGGGTGCAGGATACACAGTAGATTGTGGAGTTAGTTTGTTTGGATATCAAAGAATAGTGTGCAGGATACACAGTAGGTTGTGGAATTAGTTAGTTTGGATATATAAGACTAGGGTGCAGGATACACAGTAGGCTGTGGAATTAGTTAGTTTGGATATTCAAGAATAGGATGCAGGATACACAGTGGGTTGTGGATGATTATAAATCACTGAGTTAAAAAGACTACGTCGTTTGAAGTGAAAAAAATATGCAATGTATTGTTATAATGTGTTCACTGCTGAAAGGGTTAACGTTAGGTTTAGGGGGGTATAGAGGAGGGGGAGGGGTTTCAAAGTACTAATCCTATGTAGTGTAGGGGGGTCGAGGAGGGGGGGGGGCAGGTTAGACCCATCAAAATGGGGTTCAAATATTTCCTCATCATGATTGGAACCTGGAGGATAATATTTTTGTTTTCAGGTTTCAGAGAAATAAAAACAAGGAATATATTGACTTGGTAAACACACAGTTCGGTTCAGACGTTTAGTTTTTAAATATGAGGGAGTGTTTGGATTGATTGGTTGAAATAATTTTAGGGTAAAGTGGTAAAAATTTTTTCAACGTAGGAAAAAAGGATGAAAATTGGATGAAAATAGGAAGGAAATTGAATGAAAATATGATGAAAATAGGATGGAAATTGGATGAAAATAGGATGAAAATAGGAAGGAAATTGGATAAAAATAGGATGAAAATAGGAAGGAAAAAAGGATGGAAATAGGTTAAAAATAGGAACGAAGCAGGATGAAAATAGGATAAAAATGGGATGAAAATAGGAAGGAAAAAAGGATGGAAATAGAATAAAAATAGGAAGGAAATAGGATGGAA